AGGACAAAAAGTAATTTAGACAAGCAACGAATCGCAGGGTCCTCTCTGCATGGGGATGGTCGATTTCGAAAGGGCTTTCGATTTAGTACTGGATTCCTTGACGGGGTACAAAATCGAGAAGAGACACAGAGACCTCGTCACCATGCCTGACAAACATGCAACTGTTAGTGTAAAGCTTCACGAAAGCACAAACAAGTTCAAAATCGAAAAGTGGGTCTGACCCAGAAACGCAATATTATTAAAGTTATTCACAAGAACCCTAGATTAAACTCTGAAGATACTCCGTTGATAAAATCAGTACAGAACATAAATGGGCACTATTTAAGTCAATTGTAGTTTGTGAACGACGCTTTGATCTTCTTAAGGTCATCAGAGAAACTCAAAAGAAGAATCCAACTGCTGAACGATGTCAGCATCAAACTCGGACTGAAAATGAACCAGAAAAAAGATCATGTTTAATAAATACGTCACTGCCCAAACTTTCGGCTTGAAGAAGTGCAAACTTGGTCTTTCTGGAGCAGCTCATCTCTGCCACGAAGAACCGGTTATATGAAATCAACAAAGGAATAGAAATGGCATGAAGTACTCCTGAAAGACTCAAAATGTTCCTATGCTTGAAACAGAAAGCATTCGATCAGTATCTGCTAACAGTGCTAGCCCATGGATACGAAGCCTAAACCCCAATCTCGAAAGCTATTCATAAATTGCAGTCTACGTATTGCAGCAAGGAAAGACTGGTGTAGAAAATAGCAAGAGAAGAAGAAAAATGAATATAACTACATATCTGTCGAATATGGTCGTAAACAAAGCAGCATTCAATTTAAGGAAAATATCTGAATACAGTAGGAACTGTGATGCAAAAGGCAATAAATACCTTTAGTTCCCAACGTTCCGGCGAAGACAGTCTTTTCAACCTTTTCAGGGGTACATTCACCCCCAAGTCGTCAAGGGAACTGTCCATGAACGAATTCGGCAAAAAGGGTCGATCAGGATTTCTAGCAGCCTCTCGTTCGGCGTCGAGGACTCCATTTTCGTTTGTTGCCGTCGTCTTTGGATTGAGATCCTCACCAGTTTCTTGATCGACCTCTTTCATAGACAAACCGGTTCTACCACCGGTGTAATTTAACACCTTCACTTTCACCTAAATAAATTATGGTAAGTTTCCGACAAAAACAATGTCTAATATTTCTTTACAAAACAACAAACTCGAGAAATCCAAAGACAGTCACACGTGTGTGCTTGTGTTTTTTGTGATCATTTTCAGTCGTTTGCATAAGCAGTACATCTCTGATTTGTGATTATCACCGCAAGTGGGGATTTTCCACACATCTGCTACAAGGCACCGCTTATTGCATAGTAGAAAGAAATATTTACCTCTTCGAAAGCCGATTTGCCTCTACCACATTTGTCCATGTCGAAGTCCACCGTGATTCGGCTCCCACACGAAATTCGTAAATGGTTTATGTTCAACCAGTTTGTTTAAAATGGCGTACCTCCATTACGATAACCTCCAGATCGCTAGCAGTTAACCTCGGGTCATCTCGACCAAAATTGCTCCAAGAACTACCTCACAGGTGAGAAGATGGCTTTCCTCTTTTTCGTACTGATCAGCAGAGTCTCCCTGAAAGGCACCTCAAGCACTCACGCACTGCAGAATGTGCCCTTAAACCGAGAGGCAGTTAACCTCGGGTCATCTCGACCAAAATCGCTACAAGAACTACCTCACAGGTGAGGAGATGGCTTTCCTCTTTTTCGTACTGATCAGCAGAGTCTCCCTGAAAGGCACCTCAAGCACTCACGCACTGCAGAATGTGCCCTTAAACCGAGAGGCAGTTAACCTCGGGTCATCTCGACCAAAATCGCTACAAGAACTACCTCACAGGTGAGAAGATGGCTTCCCTGTTTTTCGCACTGATCAGCAGAGTCTCACTGAAAGGCACCTCAAGCACTCACGCAACTGCAGAATGTGCCGATATATATAATTAGGAGCAAGGAGGCAGTATAAATTATATAGACTCAGAAGTGGTCATACCTTCTGTCCTCGTCGGACAACGTCCGCCACCGAGCCGACACGAGCACTTTTCAGTTGGGAGATGTGGACCAGACCTTCAATGCGTTTCTGCAGAC